CCCCCAACCCCGATCCCATGGCAATTCTTTCCTCTCAAATGCTTTCATCATGTGTTCTGATGTTGGTCTATGTGAAAATGCCTTCATGCTCGGGAATCTCTTGTAATATAAAGGTTTAAACACTGCAAGATTTAAAAAAAATTGGCAGTGGTCAAAATTAGCTACATTGACATGTGGATGGAGATGCTTGACTGAGGAGGACTTAACATATACGACAGAATACCTGAAATCTGGTGGAGGGGCTATGGGGGGGTGAGGAGAGGGGTGGAAGTCTTAATTTGATTAAGATATATTATGTGAAACGCACACAAACTAAAAGAAAAAACATCTGCGTTGTTTAGCAAGAAATATGTCAATTTCCCTAGAAGTTAAAAAATTTTAAAACATCCAACTAAAATAGAGCTACTCCCCATGGAGTTGGGGAAGCAACAACATATCATTTTAATTATTGTTTTAAAAATCTAGCCTCCAGCATTCTTCTCTTATTGCTTCCAGTGGCTTGAGCGTCCTAAGGGGGCCGGATGCAACAAATCCACTGTGGCAGCTGAGAACCTGTAAGCTGTCTAGTGCCTCTGACCTTTGCATCCCAGAATGATGGGAGCTAGAGGTTGGCTTTGACATAATTTGATAAAATTAGTATAATATCATTAGCATTTTCTGTGATCTACGGGTCTCATATTTGTCATGTGAATCTTCCTATGTTAGCTGTGTAGGTTTTGGAAGTGGGGAAGGAATGTATAAATCATAATAGTAGAATTTTATAAGGATTGAGTTAAACATTTTAGTTATTCTTCAACTATTTAATTACTAAAAAGCATACTATGCAGCAATATCTGACTACATATCCTTCACAGAAGTAAAATATTTCTGGGTTAGTTCACTTATGACCTAATATATTATATCCTTCAGAAGAAACCATCACTATCAGGTTGGGATGGACCCTTTGGACGAGGGGTGCCCAGCCTTTTAATACTGAGACATGGCATTGTCAACTACAATGTGCTGGGCTGCATTCACAGCTATTCTGGATGCACACATCCTGAAGGCCACAGGTTATGCACACCTGCGAGTCGGGACCTTTGTTATATAGATACATAATATTGTGCCTATGTGTTTTATATAACTAGTATTGTTATCTTTCAAGACAGTTTTCTTTCCCCAGGATTTCACATATAAAAACTCTAGTAAAAAATAGTTCCACACCTTTATTTCCATCTCAGGAAAAAACTATGAAGATGAATTTTTTTTTCTTGGCCTGTGTAATTTGTTCATTATTTCCCTCATTGATCCTCATTTCCCAGTCCCTCCTGTCACTAAGCCTTTCATTGCTTCTTCCTTACTTTACGCTTACGTCAGTGGATTGCAATAACTGTATATAAATCTCTGACACCACCAGGGATGGTGGCACACGCCTTCAGTCCCAGAGGCAGGAGGATCTCTGTGAGTTCAAGGCCAGTCTGGTCTACATAGTGAGTTCCAGGCCAGCTGGGGCTACAGGCAGAACCTGTCTCAAAAAGACCAACAAACAAACAAAACAAAACAAAACAAAAACCTTTGGCACCAAGTATAAAACAAAAGCATTCATCTATTTAACAGATTTTCTAGTACTAGTAAGGCAGTGGGTGAATATTTTAGGATACCAGTAAATTTTCTCCTTCCTGCTTTCTTTTGACCTGCCCTCACTCTCTCAGAGTCTCCTGTGCCTGATGTGGGTGGAGAAACTGATATAACACATTTTTATCTTGGGTTTCGCCATGGTTTATATGATAGGGAGGGAGGACTTACAAAGAAACGCAGTGACAAGACGCCATTCCAATTGCTTTCTTGCCCAGCTCACAGTCTCCATGAGCTTTCACCCATGCTCCCAGGTCTGTAAATGCCCTTTTCTCGCATCCATGCCTGCAGGATGCCTCCGCCATTAGCCGGGTGGCTGCACACTTTCTTTTTCCCCATTGCAATCTCGCCACCACGCTAACTCTGCCAGGCTAGGCTCCACCCTTTTTCCCAGGGTGCCCTGCACTCGCCCAGTAGCTCATGCTTTTCGGAGGAATAAGTGGTTTCTGGGCTACACATGGGGACTCCTCTTTACTCCAACATGCCATTTACTGTGCTCGGCTCATTCTCAGCATGAAGCTTGCGCTGCTAAAGATTGTTTTGAAAGGAAGAGGCACACATTTAGAATATCCTCACATTTGAAGATGCAGCCACTTCCCCAAGTTCTGTTTAGAAGATAAAATCATGGGCTCCTCTGTTCAGCCAGAGTTGAGGATAAGGAGGTACAAAGCTTTCACATTTTCAATGAAAGGAGGCAGGTTGTTCTGTGCCTAGGTGTAAACACACACTACTGCTGCTACTGGTACTTGGTAGGAATCGCTGAGACACAGACATATCCCATTACCTTAAAGCTACCAGAGGATATCACAGGAGGGACGATGGCACCGCACCACAGTGCCATCGCACACCAAACAGAATTGCTTGGTCTTCTGCTTCAAGGTCCTTGGTCCTCTGGGGTCGTTTTGAATTTCACTGTAAAATTTATTTATTATTTTTCAATGTGTGTGTGTGTGTGTGTGTGTGTGTGTGTGTGTACGTGCACACGTGTGCATGTGTGTACGTATAGGTGCAGGTGCCTGCAAAGTCCAGAAGAGAGTGACCGATCCCTTGCAACTGGAGTAACAGGCAGCTGTGAGATAGCTGATATGGGTGCTAGGAACGGAACTCAGATCCCCTGAAAGGGCACCAGGTGCTCTTAACTGCTGAGACATCCCTCTGTCTAGAGTAATTTTGGATCCTAGGCATAAAACAGATTTTTGTTGCCACCTAGAGTGTTTGAATTCATCAGCCTGGTGCTGCTTTCTGCTTTGAGAAGCAGACACACAGTTATGCACCAGGCCTAATGCTAGCCATTTTGTATACTTCATGTTTGATAACTTACTGGGTTTAATAAGAGATTGGGATAGTTATTCTTTGGGCTAGTCCACTGAGGTCCACTGTTGTTCAACTGAAGAGACTGTTTCAGAATTCACAATGAGGCGGAATTAACTACAAAGTCTGTTTTCCTATAGACCCTCCAGATCCTTTGAGTGTCTGTCAGTCCGCATTGCATAGATAGTTCTAAGCAGTTTTGTGTGCTCTTTGGATTCTTGGCCTTAGTGTCATGAATGTCTAGAAACTGAGCCATGAAGAATTCTTAAGTAGGTATGCTTTGCAAATGTAATTTGCCATTTTAGAAGTTTCATCAACCAAAATGCACACACTACTGATAGATATTTCCTTTTCTCTGACACATCTGTTAGGTAAAATAAAGATCGATATCAAGAAGCCAGTTAGAGGATGAAGACACAATGTGGGGTAGAATATTTTGCCATCATGGGTAAGCCTTGGATTCAGTCCCCAGTAGTACAGGAAAAGAAAAAGAAGAAAGAAACCACTCAAATAATCAATGCTGTTCACAAGTAAACTATTTCTTATTGTCAAACTCTTGGAGCAATAAAATCCCTGAGTTCTTTAGAAAGATTACATAAAGCATTTAACACCTTGTAGGATTCTGGGAGAAGAATTAAAATTTCCTTTTTTTCTGGTTATTTAGCTATCAGATCATTTTCTTTTTAAAAATAATATTTTCATTAATTCTTTGAGAATTTCATACAGTGTATTTGACCATGTTCATCCCCTTCCCCATCTCCTCTCAGATTCACCTCCACTTCTCTATCTTCTTTCCCCAGTTTTGTATCTTCTTTTTCTTTTGAAGAACTTCAAGTCCAATTTGTGTTCTCCAAATACTCTTAGATGTGGGTCCTTCTCCTGGAGGGTGGTCAGTTTCCCAGAGGTCACACTCTCAAAGAAAATGGACTTTCCATTTCCCAGCAGTTATCAGTCGTCAGTAGCTCCTCAGCTAGGGGAAAGGCTGTGTGCCCACCTTCCCACTCTATGTTGCGATGTTGTCTGGGCTTGTGCAGGTCTTGCATGTGCTGTCACACTGCTGTGAGTTCATATGTGCAAGTGCCATGTTGTGTCAGATCCTTTTTAAAAATTGTGGTGTACTCTTATGATTTGGATTCCCAGCATGTTTTTTGTCATTGCCAAATTAATTGTTATTCCTGCAAATGATTTTCCCATTAAGTGAGACATTTGTATCCTGGCAATTCATATACACTTTATGTTGCATTTAATGAAAACTCAGAGACCCCACAGTGACCAGAGCTTTTTCTTTGTATTGTTAGTTAATATCGACATCCTATATTATTACTTTAACTCATTGGAGCCATATTTATTGTTAGAAGGTAAGACTGATTTTAGTCTTTTATTTCTTGCCTCTAGCCATTTTGTTATAGGAACATGCTCTTTTACATCTTAACAAAATATCTTAAGATCATTAGAAATATTCATGTTTAGAAAACTATTCAGGAAATTTACTTGAAACCCAACTTAGTCTTTTGAATTTTGAATGTAAAGTAACATTTATGGTGAGCTATTATTGAACGTGATTCATATTGTTTACATAGTGAAATTCTGAGTTTAGGGGTTATATTACATCATCGACAGACTCCAAGACCTCATACCACTAAGACCTTGTTCAATCCACCACAGTGACTGTGTAGGACTCTGTGGAACGGTTTAGGGCTGATGTCCCACTGGCCCTCTTGGTTCTGAGCTCAGATCTGGAGAAAAGATCTGTGTCTGCTGCAATTTCGTGGACTGTGGTGCTCTTCAGGGTCGTGTGCTTGCTTGTGCACACTACCCAGTAATTCAAGTTTCAGAGAATAAACTGCTATGATGTCACGGATGACATTGTGAGGTCCATCATCACGTTAAAGTCAGACTTCCTGCCTGTGTCAGATGTTTACCCACCTGAACTCTAGTCAGATTTCATTTATTTATTTAATTTTCCCCTATACTCCCAAGAATGCTGTTCTAGTGGCTGAAACATTTCACAATAGCATAAATCCTCCATGCCTGGAAATGTAGGTTAACGGTGACATTCTCAATTTGTCTTTTAGAGCATCAGGGCTTCCGGCCTCATCCTGTTGGAAACAATCCTCTTTGGGTCTCTGCTCCTATACTTTCCGGTAAGCAACATCATCATATGGTTTAAATAGTCATTTATTTTTATTGCAGTGTTGTATATATACATAGTATATTAACAAGGTTTTGACAAATGTTTAAATCTGACTCTTATTATTTGATTGATCTCAGGCATTTATGCATCATTTCTAAATATTGCTTTTTTTTCTAATAAATTACCTTTTTCTTCTCAACTTTGTGAGGAAGATCAAATATTTAGGTAAGACAGCATCTGGAGGTCATATTTAGTATACATACTATAAGTGAAAGTAAGTATTAATTTCCCTCTTCCCTATCCTTTATAAAATCACAAAGCATACCAAGTTAATGCTGGAAAATTCCCTATGAAAAAAATAAGCATAAAGGCAAATAAAATGAAGTAAATGTGTATGTCTGATACTGGACTTACATCATCAGAATAGACTCATTTTGTCACACTAGTACTTTGTCCGTAACAGTAAGTACCATTTGACTGATTCAATTCAAACAACGTGTGTTCTAAATCTATTTTTGGGATGAACATGATGGTAATTTCTGGGAATACTCTATGAGCAAGTTGAACTTGATTTCTTCTCTGAAGAAGCTTGCAATTTACAGGAAGAAATGAGTCAGTACAAACTCTCGTGGCACAGTGTGACAAAGACTTAGGCTTGTGGGAGCGGCAGGCTATGGACAAAGGCTTAGGCTTGTGGGAGCAGCAGGCCATGGAGGCTCTTGGGAAGGACATGTAACCAAGTCTAGGCATCAGTGGAGGTTCTGTGATCTGAAGGATGAGGAGGCATTAGAGGCGGTAACAGGGCTGCCTGGACATCACGTTCCTTTCCTCCTGCTTCTCTCAGTGCACCATCTCAGCCTTCTCTACTCTACATCTCTCCCACCTTAATACCCAAGTACATTGGGACCCATGCTCAGAGCTTTTCTTAATGTACACACTCATTGACTATATAATCTCACATCACTGTTTTAAATACTGCTGCTAATAAGCTATTAACTATTGCATTTATACCTCCAGACAAGATTTTTCCTCTGAACTCCAAACTCATATTCATTTGCTTCCTTGACACCTCTGTTGGGATCCTAAGGAAACCCCCTAGAGTGCCATTAGCTGAGATACTGATCTTGCCCTACAGTTCAGTCTCTATCTCCCCTCATGGTTGCTTGGTCCTTCTAGTTACCCAGACCAAAACCTACAAACAACTCTTGACACCTGTTCTCTCATGTCAACCAGCCAACCTTTCACAATATAGCAAGAACCCAACTAGTCCTGCTTGGCTTACTGCTACTGCCCTGGTCTTAGGCAGGATTAGCCATTCCTGGATGGTTATGACAGTCTCCCACAGAGGCCTCTCTTCTTGGCTGCCCTTACAATCCATTGCCTTTCAAAATGTGAGCCCGTTTTAACACTATCGAGACTTCCCATTGTTACTCTTTTCAGATGTTGTAAAATGTTCCCCAGGAAAAGCAAAATGCTCACAACAGCTTGCAAAGCCAAGCGTGACTCAGACCATGTCCCTCTATTACTTCCTTTTCTAATAGTCTTCCCTCACCAGTGTTTAGATCAGGCATTCTCCACCCTTTTAGGTCTTGGATTACATTTTCTATTTTCTTTAAAATACAAATGTATCTAGATATAATTAGCATTCTGGTCTCAGTGTGTCCCATGGATTTATATGTTGGCAGCACCTCTAATGCAACTGTGTTGGGGAGTGGGAGGAGCCCTTTGGAAGATGCTCAGGTCCTGAGTGCTGTGTTCTCACAAGCGGATTAAAGGCATCACGAAAGAGCTACTGGAAGGAAGCTTGGTTCTTGTATTAGTTGCTTTTCTGTTGTAGTGATAAGACACCATGACTAAGAGAACTTTTGAAAGAAGTATTTATTTGACCTATGGTGCCAAAGGGGTATGAGCCCATAATGGTCAGAGAGGCCTGGTGGTAGGTGGTGGTGAGGGCAGAAAGCTGAGTCATCTCTTATTCTCTTTTCTTTGGCCAGTTGTGGCCTTCTGGGTTAATCACCAGAAAGACATATTCTGCACAAGACTGATCTGGTCACTGGTGCAGAGTGGCCTGGAGATCTCAGAATTTGCAGAAAAGAAGTTAAAACGTTTTTACTAGAGATTTTCTATAAGGAAGACTAGTACTGAATTAAATGTTAAAATAATCATACAAATGAAATTCAAATTGAATACCTCTTACCAGAAATACTTGAAACTAGAAGTGTTTCAGATTTTATAATATTTTGAAATAGTTTCATAGGCTTTACCAGTTGAGCATCCCAAATCTGAAAATTAAAAATCTTCAGTGCTCTAAATTCTGAAACCAAGTTTCAGTGAATTTCAGATTTTGGAATTTTGGATTGGGGATACTCAGCCTGTATAGTCACAAGGTATAGGGGCAGGGGAGATGGCTCAGCAGTTAAGAGCACTGACTGCTCTTGCAGAGGACCCGGGTTCGATTCCCAGCATCCACATGGTGGCTAAGAACCATCCTTAACTCCAGTTCCAGGGGAATCTGATGCCTTCTTCTGACCTCCTTGGCATTGCATGACATGGGTGCACTCACATACATGCAGGCAATATACTCATACACATAAAATAAAAATAACTATAAAAAGGTCTAATAGTATAAATGTGACCAATGCTTCTCCTGTTTTTAAATATCTTGACTACCTTCTGAGATCCTAGTGTGAAATGTACCAGAATTTCTCATGAAATTTTGCTTGGAATTACAGTTTTATATATAAAAAAAGTATATTTGAATAAAATGGAATTATTTAAAGCTGAGTGTTTCCATGGAAGGAGACTGCGATGTTCGCTGTTCTGCGTTATGCAATGAAATTTTTATTCTTTCGGTGCTGCACATTGTTCTTCAGATTTGCAGGAATTAAGGTTATTTTTGCCTTTTCTTGGCAATTTCAGACTACAGACGATTTCATAACAATGCTTGCATTGGGAAGTCCAAATTAGAGCATCTCATCATTGCAGCCCAGGACGGACCAAAGTCCTACAAGCTTCAGCACTGCTATAATTGCTAGCACAAACTGAAGCTTTGGAAGCATTTTCTTACAGATTCTAAAAAGAGTCTTATGATATGAAGTCCATGCATTATGAAAAAATGATTAGCATCTGTGATCACAGAATTTATTAAAGAAATAAAAAGAGACTTGCAGAAAAAACCAACTTAGGTCCTCAGGGTATTTCTTGTTAAATTACACAGAAAAGCTTTTTGAATTCATAAAATGTATTAATGGTAATATAAGATCTAGAAGTTTGTTTTGCCATGACTAAAGCATCCATTTCGGTTATTAAGTGGTTTCTCCCTCTGTGTTATTTGATGGATTGGCAATGTGCTCATTACTGATACATATGTTACTATGATACAGATTTTCAGACTCCTCAGCCTTATAGAAAAGAATGATAAAATATATGCTCTAGAAGAGGCAGAAATCAGGCACCAGGGAGCATTTGTCCAGGCTCATTATTTTGCACATGAAAGAGAAGCAACTGAGAGAAATCACCATGCATACAACTTTCCAGATACTTAATGGCAAAGCCAAGAACCGAACTCAGTCTCTCAACTCCTGGTCAACCTCCCTCTTCATCATGGTGAGAATAAGATGGTCTAAGAGCATCAAGCAGGAAACCAAGAAGGCTGAGTTACACTCCTTGGCCAGTCAGTTACCCTGTCCCATTTCATCTCAGGGAAATGGGTACAAAGAATGAAACGGGAGTTAAACTCTAATAGTTGAAGTTTTGGCCTGAGATTCCATGCAAAATTCTTTTTAAGCTCCACCATGGGGTTGAATCACATGAAGTTTCTGATGCTATTTTACTATTTTACAAACAAAAAAAATTGGCAATTATACATTTCAGCCTAATATCAGGTTGATTTCAGTGGCATAGACCCTAACAGATCATTTCTACTATGATAACCCTCAAACCTAAAACTAAAATTTGGATTAGTTTTGATTAGTGGGTTTTTAGTTTAGTTTTTTTTTTTTACCTTTAAAATTATTTTAATGGTTTTAATCATTTTATAAAGCAAGTTCACTGAAAACAACTGAGCCAGGTATGGTGGCATACATCTGCAGTCCCAACACAGGAGTGGAGGCAGTCGTTCAAGGTCATAATCAGCTATATTGCAAATCTTTCTATATTTTATTTGTTATTTTTATTTTTTATTTTATTTTTTAAGTTTATTTATTTTTTTAATTAAAAGAAGCATTTCATTACAATAGCATTAACCTATTCAATAACAATTTTCTGAGCTAGGCTGCATCTCTTACAAAAT